GCTGCACAGTTTATTATTTCCTTGAACTGAAGTGTATTATTATCTTTAACCTGCTGCAATCTGCTTGTAAGAAATCAATTGAACTAAAATTTCAGATATGGATTGATTTTAAATTGAATCTTTTTTTTTATAACAGAAGTCAGATTGTTTTACAAACTGGGAAAGGTACCCTAGCATACAGTAGGTTTTGCATTTGTGCAGATGCTCTGAAATAAGGTGAGTGAGGATAATGTCTGCATCTTCTGTGCTTTGCCCTTGTTTATAAGCAAAATTATATGGATCAGGTTTCCCACTTTCTGACCGACTGGGGTTCTGAACCAAGATCCTCTCCAACAATTGAATCAATATTGACACGAGAGCAATTGTGTAATCGAAGCACTCTTTCCGGACCCTATGCAGACGACACAATCTGGGGATGAGTGAGGAAAAGACAGGGAAAAAAGCATGCAGGAGTCGGGAATGAAAAACAGGGGGTGTGTCCATGGTGCGCAGGTGTTCTGGGGATGAATCCAAGGCAAACTGTCCAAAAGGAAGTCCAAAGGGAAATCCAAGATGAGGCAAATGTCCAGAGTCGGGCGGTCCATCCGAGACGAAGACAAACAGGATTAAAGACCGAAGCGGGATCCGGTGGAGGGTCGGGGGGAACAAGGGGGGAACGGGACCAGACGCTACAGGTCCCGTACTCGCTTGGTACGGGAACCAGTGCAGAGACGGGAACAGAGTGAGTGTCTGGCTCTTATAGGGAGGCAGGAACAGGGGGCAGGTGCACAAAATCAACTCAAAAGTGAACGAGCCAGAGCGCCAGAGGGGGAGGGACTACAATCGTGACAAATGGGACCAAACTCATTGTGCTTTCCTGGGCACATTTGGTCTCAACGTGGACCAAATACAGTATTTGGAGGTTTTCCATACTATAAGAATAGAATGCGTGTCTACAGACATCTGGAAAATTGCTAGCCACATTGGAGCTGCAGTAATTCTCTGGCAAAGAACTTCAAAATAAATGCACTTATATTATCAGGACAAGTAGCCTTATGAATATTTGTACACTGAAAAGTGTTCATTATGTGGTCTACCTTAACGACATAACTGAAGTGTTAAGTGTAATTTGACTTTAGAGTATTAAAACATTTAGCAGAGATGTCTCTTCTCTTCTTCCAATGACTTTTGTGTGAAGTCACACAAAAGGTAAAACACAATGACCACTGAAACACAATTAGAAAAACAACTGAAACACAATTAGAGTGTAATCCTGGATACTTGATTATTTTAGAGATGTTCTGTCTTAGCGTTGAGAGAATACTTGAGACAAAGCAGGAATTCAATGCAAAACAGAGTGCTGACTATTTTGAGGCCTTGTGCTCATATGTCTCAGATGTGTGTTTTGACCTAAGTCCATAAAAAACTTCCCAGATGAATCCAAACTATTAAGTGCTTGAGAAAATATTGTAAACACGATGTAAGGTAAGAATTTACGTAAATGTTGGTCTTTTGTTATGAAATGTATTCTTCAGCATTCAAGACCTGTTAAGTATAGATTATGTGCAAGTAGCATCTACAAGTGAGGGAAACACTGACTTTGAAAAGGCTAGCTATGAAAAAGACGTATGTGTTTATTTCAATACATAATTTTACACATCTTGACAGTGAGAAAAAACACAACATTATGAATTGTAGTAACACATGAAGAAGCTTTAAAAATGTATTTTTTAGTAGCTTCTATAATATTTGCAAAATCTCTGATTTTGTTACCTCCTTCATTACAGACTATGTACTAATTACACCAATATTTAGATTATTTGGACTTGAGAAGAGCAGCAGTCCTTTTGCAGGTCTCTGTGGTACTCCAGTAATGACAGTAATTACATCATATTTTAATTGTGCATTCACTAGGTACAGTATGTGTACATACTGTAAATGGACTTACAGTATGTGTAGTCTGTTCTCTGTCCATTAACAAATACCTGCAATTTGAGCATAAATTGTTTACAATGAACTTTATGAAAGGCTTTCTTCATTTTTCTGAAGTATATTTTTCATCATGTGAACGTAATATCATTTATTGGTCTATAATAACTTGGCATAGTTTTGTAATCCTTTTTACTGATGGGCTCCATGCAAGTAATTTTTTATTCAGTATAAATTGCTCTTTTCTTGAGTGACTGCTGGAAGAGTTTTGTGTTAACATGTACTATTTTTTAAATGACAAATAGTAGAACAATAGAATAATAATTTATATCAGGCCCTGAAGATTTAAAGTGTTTCTAGAACCTGTACGACATCTGCCTCTTCTTTGCTAAGACAATTTAATACAGAACTTTTTTCTTCAGCCTGAGGCATGTTGTTAATTTCTTCCTAAGTAAATATCGAAGTGAGATCTTTAATTACTACTCATATACCCCTTTCATCATCTAAATGTTTACAATTAAAATATCTAAGATATTTTCCTTTATAGATTACTGTTATTGTAATGTTATAATTATAAATAAAGTGTTTGATATATGTTGTATCCACGGTTATTCTTCATATTATTTTCTCTCTCTCTCTCTCTCTCGGCATTTCTGATATCTTGCTCAGCTGTGCTTGATGAAATTTATTCCTTTCCTTGCTGTGAGATGATTGATACTCCCATTGCTACACATCTAGAATTTGTTTTCTTCAGTCTGTCCCGTACAGTTTCGAAGACCTTGACTCCTGAGTCGCAGGCCTGTTTCTGATGTACAGTACAATGCTGCATTTCCACCTGCTTCATCCTTCCTGCCTCTCTGAATTGCTGTGAATCTAGAGATTTCGAATTCTTCACCATCACTTTGTTAGCCACCTTTCTGGGATTTCATGCTAATGCAGTTGCGTCTACATCTTGCAGCTTGTTGCTAACACTCTTGGCATTTAGATATAAGCTCTTAATTACTTTATCCTTTGATGTTTTGTTTTGCCTTGAATTCCCTTTTGGATTCTATTTCCTTTGTATCTTCCTTGCACATTTTTTGGACATTCTTCCAACTCTTTTCCATTTTAAATTGTTTTGGAGTTTCTCTGCAGGTTAGTAGTTAATTTCAATGTAGAAGCGTCTACGCGCAGGGACGGCGATGACGTCAGCGTGTCCAAACTGGCTCCGCTAGAGCAGCATGACTTGAATTACTTGCGGCACTTCTTGATGTTGAATAAGAAGTGCCATCCATTTTAATGACAAGGTGTGCCAGGTACATGTTTAAGTTTTGGGTTTTGAGAAAATTAGTGACAGTCATGTAAAACTGTTTATCACGATGAATTCCCTCTTTGCCTTTAGATCTACGCTTCTTTTGTGGGACTGGAGGTGTGTTACTTGTTTAAAGACTAACTGAAAAGAGGACTTTTGTAGATGTACAGTGATAGGGAGTTAACTAATATGATTTTCTATTTAGAAAAGGAATCAGAAAAAAAACATTAAGGCGTTCATCTAAATCTAAAAGTATTTTTGCTAGTTTCAATGTTTATTGTCATTGTTCTGTTTTAATTTAGGAGGACAGAACTCTGGTGTTGTTGGCGGGGCACTTTGACTCATTTTGCTAAAATGCACAACAAGGGTGATAGATTCATGGGAGCAGATTAAATCTCAGTGATAGGGATTTATTTCAGATTTGTTTCTAATTGGATTTTAAGATTCTGCAACTGCTAATGTCTTGGGGACTTCTTTACTTATTGATAGAATTTCAGTACGATTCTTAATTGCCCTAAATTTATAACCCAGTGTGTGTGTGAGAATATGTAAATAAAGTCACATGTACAGTTGTGTATTATAACTCTTTGTGAAGCACAGACTAGGATTATGAAATTGAGGACATCAGTTCAACCCAGGTTAACAAACAGTGAATTTACGTCCCCGCTTATGTTGATCGATTCACCAGAACAATCCATATAGATACAATGCTCAAGAATTTTGAGTTTGAGACATGACCGTTTGACTATGGGTTCAGACAGAACCATAAATACACTCCATTCTACCCCTCGATCAAAAGTGATACATAAACAATATATACAGAAAAATGTTACAAAAATAGTTTTCCAAAAGAGCAGGTTTTTAACCTAAACTTTAATGTTTAATGTATTTAATGTTTAGTGCTGCACGATAAACATTAAAATGTTTTAGCTGAGGTTAAAACAGCTCAGTTTCATTCTGAAACTCCGCGTTAAACAAATCTGTCGCTGGAAATACCGACAGGAAGCATTTACCCATCGATTTTTCCGCTTCTTTCAATTCAATTCCCGGCAAGCAACAGCCACAGAAGGCATTACTTCCCATAATCCTGAAACTCGGCAAACATGGTGCTAAATGACGATTACCAGCTTCACCGGGTACAAAAGCAGTTTCTTAACAGGTGCTTTGCCGAAACGTATGGAAGCGCATTGCACGATTTCTTCCCTTGGTGGCAGCAGTGTGCCTCCGTTTAAATGATAGTTTAACCTAATAGCCGGATTTTACAAACATTTGCCCATTTAAATTGATAAAAGCAAGCTAACGTTGCTAACGAAGAAACTATCGAACTTTGTGTCTACCTGTAAACTGTCATGTTATAGGATAGCAACTAGCCGAAAGGATACACAAATCAGACATCCCAACTTTGACAATTTGATTTCGGGAAGGTCGTCCCTCCCGTGAAAACTTGGGGAAATAAATCATTCGCTGATAGATACTCTAATATATATGCAATACACTATATATACTATAACTCACCAGTCCCGTTGAATAATCCCACTTTCTGTGCAAATTTGAGCAGATTCTCAGATGGCTCAAGGCCATATTATATAAACAACAATGCATACGGTGAATATAACTAAATCTATAATCGTCTCTCGAATGATATTGAATACAAATTGTAGCCGTTGAAGCTTAAGAATCGTTTAAAGCAAGGGCCAATTATGAGTTTAACAATCAACGCTTAATTTTAATTGATATCACCTACAAGGTTAAATACCCACGTTTCTTCGTTTTACTAAAATAGCTGTTAATAGCGAGTTAGATCCTTGTATCTTTCATTTCTGTTATTTTAATATGCAAATGTTGACTAATAACCTTCGTTTCTTAGGCATATCCTCCAAACACCTGAAAACATGACCAATAGTGACCCAGACACAAATTTATTTGAGAAACAAACAAAAGCTCTTGAGGACTGTTCAAAGGATTACGTTGGTGAGTTACAAGCATTGGCATGAGAATTATGAACGTGATAACTGATCCGACAGTCGCACTCCTAGCTTGTGAAGCAAAAGAAGTTAAAACCTTACGGAAGCTTATTCGCAGAAGTTATTGGAATTTATGTATGTCCTGGCCGACTCTTTTTTAAATAAAAACATTTGGGATAATTGATTTACTGGTGAGAACTAAGGACTCTTTTTGTCATTGTCGTCTTTATCGATATTATGATTGTAATACCAGTGATACTGCTGAATGTTGTGTATTTTGAACTACACCTACCAAGGTAGTTGTAGAATTTTAAATGTCTTTATAAGCAAAGTCATTTTCAATTTTAAGGTAGTTTGCTTACTGTATATGTGGCTACGTGACGTGATGCGGAAACGTGTAAGACCTTTCCAATGAACGGTGGCATAAATCGAGTGTAAAAAGTCACCAAGGTACAAACTGGTTTTAACCTCCTTCTTTATGCTTTATACAGAGGTTTTTTTAAATCACTTGGTATTATTTTTTTAATATCCGATTTTTTTTCTCTAGCCACACATTTTGCATATGAAAGTAGGCGATTTAGTTCTCCTGCTTTCCTTTATTCGTGCTTTGCTGGAATGCAGCTCAGGTCTGCCACTTTTAACTCAATACTCATCAGAAGAGCCAGGAAGAGCTGATGCAGTGAAGGATTTAATATCTACTGATCGCTGCTCTCATACGATAGGCCAGGGTTGTATAATCCAAGCAAGCTGTGATGATCCGCACGACTACTTATTTTTATTCCCCGTGAGCTCTTGATTTGTTGGTTGGGGATTCGGTCAAATCTTCAAATTGAATCCTGAAACGGACAAGTGGCTTGACTGTAACCTTCGCGATTGTAAATTTAAACTAGTGCATTTTCCAAGTAAAAAAGTAAAAAAAAAAGGCAGCGTCTAACACGTTCAGAAATGGAAAACGGAGCTGAACTGCAATCACTGTACCATTTTAGGCTTGAACTATCCAAGGGAGCTGGGCTGGAGCAAAACCCAACAGGTGCGTGGGTGAGCAGGACTAGGGGGAGGCGAGAATGTGTTTCTTTCGGGTTCAGCTCTTAATGACCTAAACCAGTTTATTAATGGCTTAAAGGGGACCAGTTTGCCAGCTCCTGCTAACCCCTGGGGTAATACTAATACTGCTTCAGAGACCCAGAAAGCCTGCAGATGTGCTGTCCCTCCAGCAGTAGAGTTGGCGCCCCCTGCCTCCAGCCCGACTGTGTTCAGGGCTCATGCTAATTCCACATTCACGTCACGCTTGCGCTGTTGAAACGGAAACATCTGTAGTCCCGGGCACATGAGTATTCTTTTTTTGCTTCATACAGTAAAAGACAGAAACCCCCGAGTCATATTATTTTCACATTTTCCAGCATGTCTAAATGTGAATACCAAGCGGACCATTAAGTTATTAGAGGACCATATAGATTCAATTTCAGAAATATCCTGTGTTGCTAGAGTGGTCTGAGCACTTCCTTTTAAAAAATTTACCTTTGTTCTGACAGTAAATTTGCTTTCATCTTTCAATTGCTTTTCATTACTCATTAAAATATAGCAATGGGATAACTCAATTACTGTACTTTTAAGTCCATGTGTATTCATGTTTTTGTGAATGGGAAATTTGGGATTTCCAGTTTAATATCTAGAGTTTATGGCTCTGTAAATGAAAAGCGCGGTTGCTTTAATAAAGTTTGTTTGCTCTTCCAGGACGCCACCAGAGTAATCTTCTTGAGCTCTGTCAGAAACAGCTTGCTGAGCTGCCGTTTCATAATGTTGATGACATCGCAGGTGTTTTTGAAAGTATGATTGGGGGGGAAAAAAATATTCGTGTGCTTCTCATGAATCTGTGATGGAGAAAACAGTGAAAAAAATCAGACAGTTTTGACTATACAGTTTTCACTTGAGCTGATAGTTGCCTATAAGCGTTAGTATTTTAATTTTTGATTGTTTTGTTCTGCCTTATGTACTCCCTCAGCGGTTTTTAACATTTTCAGTGGCCTTAATTGTGCACATCATCATTTTCAGAGGCTTGTTGATTTCAAAGTAATGAAGATCAAACTGAAATCTATTTGATTTTAATTATTTGAAATTCTGGGCTTAGTTTTTTTTTTTCTCTCCCTGTTTTGTTAGTCAGAGCCAAAAATGTTGTGATGTCCAGGTACAAAAAGAGGGGTTGTTACAAAAGTAACAAAATGATGGAAAACGGAAAAGAACGTGGACTAAAGTCGCAGTTACAGAGACCTAATTACTTTGTTTCCATTCCAATCACAGACAAACAGGTAATGGGAATTTGTGCAGCAAAAATTCAAAGAAGCTCGTTTGAGACTGAAGGTTTACAGTTACAGTTACAGTTCGTTTTAGCTTTTAAAGTTTCCATCCTGTGTTTATTAGAACCACTGAGTCATGACTAATTCCAAATAGAAAGTCATTTATGTAACGTTGGAGCTCTGCTCATCTCCTTGTTAGCTACAGGTTGAATGGAACAGTCGTCACCTTTGCCCTCAGTGGCTCTCAAAGTGCTGATCAATTCAGCTTCCTGTTTGCTGGGGCTTCCTTCATGTACCAAGTGGGGCTCTGCCTTTGGGGCCTTTGCAGCTGGGCTGCTGTTGTTGTTATGTAATCAATGCTTTAGTTTCATTAAAGATTTCAACTCGGCCTCATCTCCCATCCACAGACAAGTGACAGTGCTATAACAAATCTGGGCGATATCAGGCATCTGGAGTTAGATATTCATGTTGCAAAGGAGGCCATGTCTGTGAAATATTTGTGGACTACATTTGCAAACCGTTCTGAAATGGTCATATGAGTGTAGCATTGTCTTGTTGGATTGTCAGATGTACAGTAAAAGTGATCTAAAAATCTAGGTTTATGAGGGGCGGTATTTCACGTACTGAACGTTTTGTAACCTCACATTTTTACAAAGTTAATTTGAATTAGTGTGCGCTATTTTCAGTGCACTGAACGTGTATGTCCTGTAGCATGTTATACCAAATGCTGTTTATGCTAAGGGAAATAATTCCCTCTAGCTATTATATTTAACTTTTCATAGACATTTTGCCATTGGAAACTGATTTATGTCTAGGTTTTGAGCAAAATTGAAGAAATGCAGAAAGCTATGATTTCTAAGGAGAAGAGGCTTCACAAAGCACTGATTCCTTTGGAGAAGATGCATCTTACAGTAATTGTGGCCAACCTGAAGAATGAAGAGATGATCCAAAGGTAAGGAAGACCACCTTTATACACCCTGTTGCATTATTCATTTGTATTGGGACAATGTCATCCTGTATTTTCCAGCTCTTTTCCTGCTTTTTCTCCATTTGTATTACAAATGACCCTGTACTGTACCTCACTGACCCAATCTACTATTTTGTGGTTGAAAGATGTGTTGAACGGTTACACACATCTAATGGGGGAACTTACTGTGAAAAAAAAAAAATTATCGTATTTCAGGTCTGTACTTTATAAATGTGTCCTATATTTCAGTGTCAAGCAGCGAAAATGTGTACTCAATTTTGGAATGGTAAAAATGGTCCTTATCTTTTACATCCTGTAAAAGATTTCATTGTCAGGGCAAATGTTATAATGTTCACAGTAATGTAATTCTCGGATGAGTAGCCTGAGGTTTTCAAATTAAAGCACAGGTTAGCCACGCTGTTCCTCTTGTGGATTTAAATCTTGCAATTATAAAATAATATTGTAACGACCGCGGGGTTCGCTACGGACTGGAGCAGGCATAGGACTCAGGAGAAGGGGGTTAAACAACACATGTATTAACCAGAACCGGGGAAAGACACACAGACACAGACACAGACACGGACACAGACACAGACACGGACACGGACACGGACACGGACACGGACACGGACACGGACACGGACACGGACACGGACACGGACACGGACACGGACACGGACAGGGACAGGGACAGGGACAGGGGGTTACAGCGCTGCATGTGCACCAACACACACAAACGAAGGAAGAGCCCGTCTCCCCGCCTCCGCTCCACTATATAGTCGTGTAGCCCCGCCCCCAGGCGCTCTTCCCAGCCCGCCTTGCGTGGGCATGGCTGGAGCGCCCAGGTGGCGCTATACTGTTAAATCAAAATGCTTTGCTAATCAATTGATTGTGAAATATTCAGTAAGCCTTTTCTAAGCCCCTTGCCTGCAAAATAACCAGTAATCAGTGACGTTTACACAGTTTACAGATTGCGTCTTGATGGAGATGCATGTCGGAGCCCACGCTTGTTTTTGCCTGCAGCAGATCGACTTCTGCCCGTGTTCATTCAGCAGGGTTAGTCCCGAGTGTAGCCTGGGTTAAGCTTTTAGGTTTTTCCTGATCGTTGTTAAAGTTGCTTGTGATGAGGCTGGACTCACGCAAAAAATGGGGCCAAGCACGTTCATTTCGTCTCTTAATTTTAAGGAAACATTTTCTGTAGATATGGAAAACTAATCTTTCTGCAAAATATTTATTATAAAAAAGCATTTATAGCGTTGTTTGTCTAAAATAAAACACTTTAAGCTTTAAAACATTAGAGCCTTCCTTATGGCGATATGCAGACTATTGTTCTCGCCAGGCATGAGACAGTAATAATATACTGTACGTGGATGCGAGATCAGTGCTGATGCACCTGAAATTTTACTCGGGGAAACACTTGAATATACTGTAACCAGGAGACTGGTTTCTCCTTTTGAGACCCAAAGTAGTAAATGGTGAACGAACATGAAAGTATTTTATTTTGAGGTAATGCAGTCTAACAGACGGCACTGAGACTGTAATTGACTAAAATTGATCTACTGTATGGTGCCTTTGATGTAGCTCAGCCTCTAAAAATTTATGAAAAGACATCTTCTGTTTTGCTGCCATTTGATCGATGCTCACACCTCTTCTAAAAAAAATCCTAATATGTAACTGTACTGAGAATTGTTTTTTTTAAAAAAAAAGCTAAGAGAATATTAATGGTTTATTTGGTGTGCATTTGGCTAGAAGCCTAACCAACAGGTTCATTTGTTATTAAATTTATTTTGTTTGTCACTTGAGAGTGTTATAAAGTGGAAATGAGTAGATGATATTTCTTTTTTTTTAATGCAATACTTTGTGTTCGCGGCAGATCTGGTGGAGAAGAGAGAAAATACTTCAATTGAGTTCAGGTGGAATTTAGACAGACCCTGTTGTGCAATTCCAGAGTGGAGTTTTAACAGGACACTGTCGTGATCCCCCTACTCTAAAGACCATAGCCATGAGATTTAAAGCACTCTGGACATCAGTTTAACATCCTATCCAAAGGACGAATCTCCTACACTACGGTGTTCCTTGATTCCATGCTGGCGACTTGGCTCAGAAATTATGGTCCAGAGAGGAAGTGATACCACTTAAAAAAAACAGCCTGGTTGACTTGGATTGAGACAGGCCCGGTCCTGAATCACTCTAAAGCTTTGACCAACTCGGTCTCCAAGGTGACAGTGCTGCTATCCGGCACTGCCAGGTTGCACCCATTGCATAAAACAATGTGGTCCTGCACTCTGCCAATGGCGATTGAGTATAACCACAAAAGAAAAAGCTGTGTAACCGTAATGGTTATAAGTCCACTTTAGCTTTAATTTTTAAAATCTTGCCGTGATGCCTGTGGCAGAGGGCAATGGAATTACCTGTAAATTAAAGAAATTTTTAATGTTGAAATAGCCAGATTTAATTTACACCTGCACTAGACCACTATATGATGTTATGAATACTTTTGGTTTACACCATGTTAGTCTCAATTTGCAGCTAATTCCATGGCTTAGGGTTGAAAGATCTTTCACCTTATACAGTAGTCAGTTATTCAGTATAATGGCAGAATTATTTTCTGTGGAATAAGAATCTAGCATTTTATAGAGTTGTTCCAAACACATTATGATCTGCCCATCTTCACTAAATCAGTAACGTTAAGGCACAGTAACTGGCATGGTTATTGAATTGTACATTTGATCATGTGTACAGTAGGAGCACTTAGATTAATATTAATGCTTCATACTAGGCAGGGAACCGTATGATATGATCTAAAGGTACCTGATAAGTAGGGAAAAACCTTTCACAATTTGGTCTGATGAAGTACTAATTTGCGTACATTTGTGTTGGGTAGAGATCTAAACAGAGGAATAGGTAATTGAGTTTTTCTTAAATTCTGAAGACCAAAATAGACTTTTTGATGGAAATATCTTTGTGTGGGTTGCCAATAAATATTCTTGCAATGTTTCTGCTATTACTAGTCTCCAACATCACTGTGCTTAAAGCAAAAAAAACCCAGCAGTAGTTTGTAAGGGTCCCAGTTGAGTTTTCAACTGATTTCTTGCCTTCAATATTTAGTGAAGTCTGATTTTCTGTTTGATAGAATATTTATATTATTACAGTTCCATTCATAATCTGTGATTCATACTGTTAATCAGACAGATACACTGATTTTTAATATTTTGCATGCTTAGCATACGGGGAAAGTGGTGTCAATTAAGAGTTATTAGTAATAAAACTAACTTCATGAATTTTCTAGGAGTGTGTGTTTAATCTATCATCTCATCCAAAAGTCCTTGTCCTGGATGAATAACAGTCCCACAGAAGACCAGCAATAAGTGGTAATTTAAATCACCTGGTATTGGTGTTGTTGCTCTAAAAATGGCTGGTGATTTGGAGAATTTGAAGTCTTTGGAATCTGAGAGGAGAGTTCTCTGTGCCTGGACACATCTGAAGACTCTGGCAGGATCTCAATTTTGACATGTGCACCAATTGCCAGTTCCAGACATGTCAGTAGATTAAAAACTGTGCCAAATATCATTTAAAGGCTTTCCTTTGGTAAAAACAGTTCAATGATATGGATTGCCTGTTGTGTTAAGATAAAAACAGGTTAGGGGAGTGTTCTGTGAACCTTTAAAAGGGTGTTAATTTTATCCATAGGTGCTAAAAAGAAGGAATTGCCTAACTGTTATGAAGACATGCTGTGACTGTAATTTTCATTATGCACTTTTCAGTGTCCTGGTTCTTGTGTCCCAGTGTGACATGCATGATGGAATTAAAGTCCCTTTTTATGTGCCTTTCTTGAAGTTAACTGCTTGAGTGAACACCTTATGCCTGCTGCTTCACTGTGCCCTGCCGAAGCATTGATTACCAGCCAGGAATAATGTTCACTTACTCTGGAGTCTCTACTCTTACTCTTTCATTTCACTTCAGTACAGTTTGTATGATTTACATTTTATATGTAGATGTTAAACTTTACATGCAGTTATCAGAATTAAAGTCCATAATGTCATTCCATCAGACCTCGAAAATCTGAATTAATCTTTGTTTTAACAATTAAAAGGCTCCAGGGTTTTTCTCCATTATTTCAAGTGTCAATTCAGTACACTGGCTGTTGTTAAATTAAAATGGCAATTGATTTATTAATTACAGTCTCAATGCAATTGTTATTAATCAAGATAACCTTTGAAAATTCAAATTCAGCCATAAAGTAAAAGGGGTACAGTTAAAATAGTAATTTGTATTATTTTCTACTAAAATTATACTGTGGTGCTACTGTTATTTTATCCAGATTGTTACTGTTGGAATTATTTCATAAACCTTTGTGCATGATTTATTTTTGTCTTGGCTAAAAACAAAGTAAGGTAGCTATTTAACAAAGTGCCATTCTTTAATGGCAGGATTGTTAAATTAAGAATGATGTTTAACTGCTGTTTCTGCACCCAGGGGAAATCATCTACAGCAGTTTTGATTCCTGCCTTTGCTGGCTTTTTGAAAGTGATGCACTCTGGCAGCCAAAGGTTCACTTGACTTTTTGCTCTAAATGGTTGCTCTGTGCAGGGCTGCAGACGCATTAAAGCAATGCAAAAATCAACTGGACATGATCTTGCTGGGCAGGCTGCCCCAGATGACATTTCATGGGATCGACCAGTTTAACAATAAAGTGGTCTACATCAAAATGACAGAGGAAGAGCATCCGGTACTCTGTCAAATGGCAGGTGAGTAAATGTGTTGAATACAGGTACTCAGAGGATGTTGGGGGGGGGAAATTAGTGTTATGAATTGTCATTTTTGATCTGTCCAACTATACACCAACTGCCTTGCACACCTGTCTCTTACTTTCAACTGTTACCTTTCTTTTAGCAGTCTTTTTTTTTTTTTGGGTGGGTTTGAATATTGTTATACAATAGCAACCTTTCCATTTTTCTATCATAGTATTTGTTTTTGCTTTGAGTAGGCTTGGTGTAGGTGTGTACAGTATAGAACCCATTGCTTCTTTGAAATGTGTAATCATGACAGTTTGAAGCAATGAGTTTGTGAAAACTGTGAAAGTCTCTTAAAACACTACTTGTACAGTGTACTGGAAGCGATTGTCCCTTAGTTATTTAAGTTTAACTCTATAACCGTAAACTGAATCCAGATTTGTTCAATTTGCTGCAGTTTCCCTGACTTCGCATTTGCAGTCAAACATTTGTGTTTGCCTGTATTGACATGTAGAGAATATGGCTCAATAAGTGTTATTGTAGACAATTGCAGTACGTCAAACCTCGTTTCAGATTTATTATAAAGGGTTTTTACAGGTGACACCTCTGATTGATAGACTTCCAGAACATGTAACAATAGCAGAAAGCCTAAAGATTTCTCTATAGCTCAATCCTGTATTGTAGTAAGCGTGTTTCATGCCATCTGGAGGTAATTTAAAAAACAGTGGTTAATTGAAGACGATACAGAGCCAGGTGCTCCTTTGACACCTTGGTGGTGGAGGGTTCTTAAATACATCCTCTTCATTCATCCTTGTCATCACACATTCATAGTGATGCATCTGTGATTCAAAGAAATTTAAGTCATTGTCAGTCATTGAGACTTCCAATTTATATGAATTGGTTTCTTACATATCTGGTGTGATGTGATCCTGCACTTAACATGTATTTATACTGGAGCTCTATAGATAACTTTAGCAAAAGCTTTTTAATGAGCAGTGGTTTCTATGAGGTTAAACAATATCTTCATGCAAAATGGAGAACTATACAGACTTAATGAACAGTATATAGTAATGCATGAATTACTTCTTAATGGCAAGGGTACATTTTCTAATTGTAGATATTTTTGCTATGCATGTAACTATGGGCAAATATACAGTACAAAAAACAATTGGCTTACTGACTGGCTCCAGGTTGATAAATGTGCTTCTGTTCTAAATAAGTAAACTGACAAAACTCTTGCTTGAAATAAAAAGGATATATTATGTAATATACAAACAAAATATCTTCCTTGTTTTCATTCTTTACTTTCTATTTAAGATATCCTCTTTTGCGTTAACGTTGTGTGAACTCTTTCCCAGAAATGAGGAATATACTGTACTAGTTCTTCACTTCACTTTGGTGGTGATTAAAATGGAAGAAAATGTGTAAAATCCATTGCTTGTCAGTGACTGGTCAAAGAGGTGATATACAGTAAAATTATCAGTCTTTACTTATCCTCTTTGGTTTTATGTGTAGAGGTTCAAGGGTGGGTTAACAGCCATTATTTCATAGTTCAGTGAAAGTACAGTATGTTGCTTGAATCTAAAATCTAATCTGACTTTTTTTTTTTCTCTGATTTCTGCCAGAAACTGTGAAAACAACCTTTGAAGAGATGGGGGTTGATATCACCGGAACCAAAGAGTTCAAACCTCATCTGACCGTTTTGAAGCTATCCAAAGCACCAGCACTCAGACATAGGGTAAACTACTTGAATCATTTGCAAGAACTTCGATGTCTGACTCCGAGAGCGAAGTGACGTGTGCATCTGGATTGGGGGATGTAATGACAATGGGACTGCCACTAGAGTCATTGAGGTGGCTTCAGTGACCAGGACTCACCTAACGGGAATAACGCATGAGTCGACTCATGACAGTGGATTGTGTTGGAATCTTCACATCGTTCGTGGGGCGTGACTTGCTGTTGGGAGTTTTTTTGGGGTGTCAGTAAAACCGTGGTTAGTATTCCCAGAACAGTGATTTCCAAACCTGGTCTTGTGGTAACATTGTGTCTTCGGGCCTTTTCTCCTGTCAGTTTCTCATTGCAGGCAAATTGATCTAAATTTCTAACTTGTTTACTTTCGGCTCTTGGCAAAACTGTGGTGGGCTTGTAATTGGTGTCAATGCTAGGTTATTTTCTGAGTTCAGAACTCCACTCGTTCAGGCATTAGCTGCTATGTAACCAATTAAACGTAAGTAGAAGGGAAAAGAGAATAGTTTTTTTTTCCCTGTTTCTGTCTATATAAGCATTTTCTAATCTAAATATAACTAGTAAGTATGGTGATTTTTGCTTTTGTGGATTGTACAGAATTGACTTGATTATTGTAAGAAATAGAAGGGGTGCCCTCTTGTGGTTGATCTGGATTCAGTATTTGAAGAGCACTTCATGTTGAGAAGCACATTTCATGTTATTTCCAGTGTACTGGCATTGCAGATAGGAAATATTGAAAGAACCACTTCCATTTACAGTAAAATATCACCTTTTACTACAGTTTATGTTCCAGGTTTAAAGAAAAAATGCCTCTAGAGAGGTCATAACTGATGGCTTCTGTAATCCTTTTCCCTATAAAAGGCATCGTCCTCTTAAAAAAAAAAAGTGATAATGATAAACCATATATCTTACAGTGCTTTTCAGGACGCAACCTCTCAGAGCCTTACCACAAAGCTCTCGAACAAAATAAATTATATATTCATGAATCAAGCCATTAAAAGCTGGACGGCTCATGAAAGTGCCGTCTTCAGAGAGGTATTGAAGATGCCGATTTTACCTGCAAGATCTTTTACAGGCTGGGGACCATTCCACAGCCCTGTGACGGTAGAACAGGGGGTAATGTCTCCCAGCGTTCAGAGCCTTGGAATGCGGAGCTCAAAGAGGACCAGAGGTGTGTAGGGACTCAGCAGTTCACTAATGCCAACAGGGGTCAGACTGTTCAGCCCTTTACATGCGAGCAGTAATATTTGAAATATGATTCAGAAATCAGCTGGGAGCTAGTGCCAGAAAGCTACAATATGCTCCATCGTTTTAAAACGCTCTGAACTCCGTTTCCGAAGTCTTTTAGGACTGGGAATTGTCTGCAGCTCATTCCTTTCCCCGCACTTTCACCTCGCCATCATTTTGGTAGAGTTTTATCTGTCCAGGTGGCTGTGGGGAAGTTTTTCTTCACGGCTCCGATTGCTTTTTCTATTGTCAACTGCGGTTGTTCTCCTCGCCCAGCCTGGGCGTTGCCGTTGGCTCGACACACCAGAGGTGTCCTCCTTTCGAGATACTCCATTGAGTTTGCCCTCCGGTTTGTGTGCTACAGTATGGTTTTGATTTTTCTCAACTCTTTCCTTTCATAGACAGTTCTATAGTTATGTTGGTTTAGGCCTGTTGACTCGAAAGGCAGGCCTAAGGTAAGCGCAAAGGCTAATTCCAGCACTACACATGCCCAGCTCTTTTCTGCACACAGTCAGTGCAACAGGAATACTTCTGTTCACCTGAAATGTGGGGGATTGAACATGGTGTGCAATTGTTCTAAAATGGTAAAACATATAAGCACAGAAATAAATGGTGACATTCTGTACTTTTGACTCATTCGGCTTTTCCTCTCAAACCCGAATTGTTTGAGTAGGCACTGTAATTTGACTTTTGTTGGGGAATTTGAACTTGAGGAACAAGGTTTCATTTCATAATGATGTTGTGGGTGATAAGGAATCGAAGCTTTTTTGATGCCTGGTGATCTTAGTCATTCCTCGGTCTTTGTTTATAAAGTAAGTGCATATTATAACAGTCATTAATGAATTATTAATTGGCATGCAAAAGGTAATGTTTCATCTGTAATTCTTTTTTTATGCAGTATTATGAGACTACTCATTTGTCTAAAGCCTACTTTAATCTTGTTGCTGGAGGGTCTCATGTAATCCTGAAATCGGCTCCTTTGTTGTTGTTTTTTTTTACTTTTGATGATTTGCCTTTGAAAATCAGATGTACAAAGTGTTTCATTTTAAATACCTAAATCTTAAGAATGAGAGTTTGCTTTCACACGCATCACATCTGTAGACCTCAATTGCCAATGAAGAACTAGAGTCAGTGTTATTTTTAAGCGAAACCTTAAGGAGCAATTGTATGTGGACACATTGACTTGAAATTAGCTTTACTTTTGGAAATGTAAAAAAAAAATCCTAAACCATTGACCCATTCCCTGTGTGTAGGATTTCCAATGTTTTTTTTTTATAACACTCAAATGAATTGAGATTGGAGTGCATTAAAACCATTTTTATTTGCATTCTCGTAGAGGATAAGGACAATTCTGTATGAAGAATATGAAGACGTCATGTTTGGCGCACAGACGTTGACTCGTATTGACCTCTGCTCAATGAGGAAGAAACAGGCCTCTGGTCATTACCACTGTGAGAGCTCGATTCTCTGGGATTCCTGTGGTGGAGGTGTTGGGGAATCGGGTCTTCCGGCCTCCGTGACGCCTCCCTGCGTGGCTGAAGAGGCGGACTCCACGCCCGATGTTCTCGCTCGAAGTCCGTGTGCAGAACGGGAATCTGCCCACGACTCGCCCCTGACGCCGACCGCGGAAAACCAAGACCCCTCCGCTGTCGAAAAAACGCGTGAAGGCGAGAACCTGGGCTCGGAGATGTCTGCTGACGAGAAGACGGATTCGGCTTCTGTTGAAGCTGTTCCAGACTAAATCAAAACGACAAAACGCCTTAAGAAATTCAATTAGTTGGATCTAGTGATAATAAGATGCACGAAGTGAGTTTAATTTGTGATAAAGAGAATATTCAGTAAAATGACCATTTTCTTTTTGTGGAGAAAAAAAATCCAGAAAATATATAGGTTCTATATACTTTTTAAGTTACTTCTGTATGTACATTGTTGCTCTTCGTTTTACAGGATGTGAGGGAATCATTTTGACATTTCGGTAAAGATAGTATCTTTTTTTTGTATGTGCCACGAAGTGTAGCAGATGTGGTTGCATCATATTGATCAAAATATATATATATATTTTAGAGAAGATGACAGTTTATTATAAATCTTTGTTTTCCTACAAGGGTTGTAGAAAATAAATGAATTTTGCCCAAGACCAATGCAGTTTGGTTATTCTTTCACAGATTCTGATATTTATGGAAAGGTGGTCATTGATTTAAAAGGTTTAGTTATTTTTTTAATGGGAAAATAAATTCCTATATCTTTTTAAAGTAAATTAGTTCATTTGACTACTTTTTTCATGACTTTCTAAGTACGCAATTCATTTTCCACTTATTAATGGAGACTTTCTGACTTTAAAACCAAATTTAGAGATTTAACTACTTAACACATGTCTTAAGACTTGGTGCTGTGAGACTCTTTGCGCTTCATTTCTGAGCTAATTAAAACGAGAACTGCTAGATGGGAACATACCTTATACCTGTAGATCATGACAGGATGCACAGTATAATGGCCGTCTCAAATTTTCTGATTTGTTCACTTCTATAAATGGGCATTTTCCAATAATTTGAACAGAGATTTTCCAACGACAACGGGGGTGGGAGAATTCATCTGGTTGTGAAAGGAACTCCATGTCGGGCGAAGTGAACGTCAACAATGTTGGACGTGTATTATGTAGAGTCGCTGTCCTAAAGACAGACTAGTCTAGTGTTTGGTGACTCTTGCCGGCGTGCTGCTTTCATTTTTTTTTTTTACAAAATCAGGCTCCAAAGAGCAACTACTCATTTACTTTCGCTTTCGCTGGAAATCGCATTTCTTACATTAAATGCAGAGGTCGATTTTGATTCGGTATTCCCACCGCCTTCATGCAATGACATATTTTTTCCAGTAGGTGGCACTGTAAGAAAAGCGGTTGCTGTGCTATTTATAGAAAGTTGCCATTAACCGCAAGACAAAGAGAATCCAGGGGTAATTGCGAGATTTATTAACTGAATTACTGCAATGTATATAGCATTTATTGGGGGGGGGGACCGTGTATTGTTAGTTTTGTGTACTGGAAGAAATAATGCAATTGTAACCATGAAAACCAACACCTTGAAAACACCCGTTAATTCCTATTTGTTATTCAGTGTGTCTGCTCTTTTCCTGCAGGGTGCGGGTTATGTATGACTTTCTAGAAAACCGACTGTTTTGTAACAGGCACACTGGGAATTCGGCTGTCATTGGTGATTATCTGAAAAGGTGGAAGAAGCAATTGTATGGATGTAGTTATATAAACAGATTCAGTTATTATGTAAGTGGGAGGAAAGGCTACCAAGGGCTTTCGAGTGAATGCCTTTCTTCCGCCCTTGTTCATAATTTACAATGACACAATTACAGCTTTAAACGGGCTGTAAAATAATGTGGAGGCTTCGCTTTGTAAACTTGAAAGAAGATGAGTGTATAGGACTGAATTTGTAAAACCCTTGTATTTATTGTGGGATACTTTTAATGTATTCAAGCATAATATTGTAAAATATTCATACTCTAAATAGTAAGGCTGCATAAGAATGTAAAAATGGTATATTTCCTTTTCCATTTAATCTTTCCTATCTCATTGTGCTACCGTTAGCAGTAATTGCAGAGAGTCTTACAGGCACATTGCTTTTGTGAAAATTTTATTGCCAGAGTTGCATCAAATCTTTGCACTAAAACCTTGTCCTTAGTACTCTGTTGTGGATAATATGGTTATGTATTACATAATTTCTTAATATTTATTATATTTATTTTAATATTAAAATTACACTTTGTCAAATTCTTATTTATTAACAATGTTATATGAAAACGGGGATTTGCATCAAACTCCTAATACAATATTTGATTTATGTCGTTGCTTCAATGTGTTAAGAAAATGTAGCAGCATAATCTTCTAGAGACAGTGTTACCCTTCTCCTGAGATTGCAGGGCTGAGAAAGACTCTCAACTGCGGTAAGTGCTGGCTGAAAACATCAAGGGCAGGTTAACAATTTCTGCAGGGTTTCACTGTGATTGTTGAAAAAATCACGGTAGATCTTTAATCCGTTTATTTGCAAGTTGTATTTTAATTTTAATGACTAAATAATTTAACATTCCACAGTTTGCTAGCTTGAACTCCCATCATCATCTTCTTTATTCCATTCTTGGTCTGTCTGCTCCCTGTACTCACAAAGCTTCATATTCTACTCTCTATGTTGCTCTCTCCCTCTATCTCCCACAGAACTGTAAGAAAGCTCCACCATGAAATATTTTCCTCTTTTACTTTTCCGAATGCACATAACCTATTGATGCAGCCTCCCTAATCGGACGTATGTCACGGTGACTGTATTTTGATGCATATTAATTATTGCAGTCAAGTGAAGTGTTCCGTGTTATTGTATTGTGAACAACAAGCACAGGTACAGTATTGAAGGGTGAAAGCCAAAGGAGAATGCTTACTTGCAACGACTGTATGTAGTTGTGTAGCTGTGTGTAGTAGTACATTACTGTAGCTTGCCTCCAGAAATCAGACCTGAAGGTTGTAATGAAAATAGACCATTGCGTCTGCTGTGTCCCTAGGCAGAATGGTAGCAGTTTAGGATTTGAATGCAATTCAGGACCTGGGCGATTGAATAGAAAACAAAATCTCCATCTTTGTGATGAGTGTAAAGCTGGGATGTTGAGAAACTGAGAAAATGTTTTTAATCAAATACAGCAGGATATTGAAGCAATTCCATTTCTGGACAGGATGATTTGAGAGAAGGTGTGTTTTCATGATGCAGAGAGCGAAGGAGCAGTGGAAAAGGCGAAGTCTTGAAACGTGTATCACTGGCAACTGTGTTCTGAAAAAGAGGAGGACCCAGACCTCGTGTTACAGTTGAAGGAGTTGAAGTTTGTTCTGGAAGCAGGATGGTTGTAACATTTGTTCATAAAGTTACACAAATAATCCCAATCCCTTGCCATGCTAGTTCCTATTCCCAGTGTGCTTTCCCCCTTATTTCCCTTTCATATTTGCTGGTAGTACATGTGCTTCAAAACAAAAGAGGCGTACGTGAAAACGAGGTGACTCTATGTCCACTGAGTTCAGTCATTGCGTTCTTGTTTTTGTGGAGGAAGTCTAAGGTGTTGTGCCATATCATCGTTCGCATATTCTCTTATACTCCTCCACACGCCAGGGAAACATTCAAGTGATGCTTTTTAATTATTTACTGTGTATTTTCTGGGTTTAATTATTGAAGCACGTGCGTATTAAGCATATTCAATGTTTAGTGTTTAATTATTCTAATTATAGGGTTTTAAAATGTTTTCCTTCATCGTTATGTCATTTTTCTTCTCCTGTATAAAGGGGGGAGTTCCTCTGCTTCTGCTCTCTCTCTTGCTCCCACTTCTCCTCAGAGATCAACACACACCTGTAACGACTGTATTAAAGGACAGTAAACTGTGGTGAGCCTGCAGGTCTTCTCACTGACACAGACAGGACTGGTGCAGTATCATGAGTGGTAATTCTCTATATGTGTTCGTGTAACAGCTAAAAAAGGGTTGCCTATGCTGTATGTAAGATTCAGGTTACATAAAAACCCAACTCTTACGTAACCCGGGGAGTGGGTGTACACTTAAAATGTTATTAAATGCAAGGAGATATTTCGGTATTTCTGTCAAATTACAATGAAACGAGGTGACGAATATAAAGGCATAGAGTACTCAGTATTGGAATTATCTCTCCTGGCAGAGGAAATGACAGCCCCAGCCATAATTATGTTCATGGGGGGGGTCTGGCAAACCTGACCTTACAGCCAGGACTCTAATTTCCTGAGCCGGCCAAATGAACGTCACTTGTGAGGAATGAGCCAGGGAGCTGCTGCAAGGGTGAAGATGGAGTAGGGGGGGGCTAGAAAATTGAGTTGTGCGCAGCAGGTGAGATTACAACTTTACCTCTCCTGGACTTCCGTTCAACACTTTCACCCGGTTTCATTCTTTAGATATTATATTTTATATGATACCTTTTCCAAATGCTTTTAAAGTGTACCCATTTGTATCCATATAGAAAGAAATGCAGCAATGTTCAGTGGCTATCGGATGCAAAAGAGCCTCTTCATTAAAGTACAACATCATCATCAGCTATCGCATTTCTTTTCCTCATATATTTTTTGATATTGTTTTAACAGCAGTAGTACCAACGTCTCATTTTTCATAAATGTGATATTACAGCTCATAACAGATATGTGTATTTTCTTCCCTCCTGTTTGGTATTCCTGCATCCATGTTTACTGCTCAGTAACTGAATCCTACTGACTATACCAACTTAAAGTAAGTTAGGAAGAATTTAAGTTAATAAGAATTTTCACGGAAAATGGAAATTTTCTGTATATTCAGCGCTCTGCAGGTGAATATTGAACAGTGATCCCTGGGAGGCAAGCAAGTATTTTTCAAACACGGTTCCGCCAGGAATGCATTCAGGATCTAGCATGGAAAATCTTCAACGTGCAACCCAATAAGAAAATTTCCACTGAATGGTCTTACGATTTTCATGGCCTCATCTAAATTTAATACATTTGAAAGGTTACAAATAAGGAAGCCATTCAGCCTGTTTGGGAGTTAGTAATTCTTGAATTTCTTGAAAAAAGACAGCATATGTGAACAAAACAATACTGAATAACCTTGTATTCTTATGCTTTGTAGACAAGGTGAATAAATGTTAAGAGACCAATCAGACTTTTAATTCACTGAATCCTTGACACATTCTGTTTGATAGCAAATAGATAAATGTTCAGAAGTGAGAGTAGAACATATCACAGATTGAAAGTTTTTTTATTCCCTTGTCTGTTGAAAATAACGGAGCTTGATCTTGACATTCTGACTTTATAGCAGAGAACATTACAGCGTTTGTATCAAGTTTGCTTTACTTTTCCCTGTCAGCAGTCAGGATTTAGAGAGGCAAGAATCTGTCAGGATTCATTAAGCCATCAAATTGGTTTGTAATAGTGGCATTAACTCTCAATTTATATGTTTTTTCTCAGGAGCTGTTGATCTTTTTCTGAAAAGAAATGTATAAAGAGTAATTATTATGTGCATCTTA